GTCGAAATGACCAATTCCCGCAGCCTCCCGTGTCATTGCATTGCTTCCGGTTAAAGAAGTTATTCGGATGCATGCTGTGCTCGATGGCTTGGCACCACACGTTGTCAATCATGCAGACATACTGCATGACTAGTGCCTTACGCTGCTTGTGTCCCATGCTAGGACCCACGCCCTTGAGATTTTTCCGTGCTCTTTTGCTCAGAAGTCCTTTCACAAGTCTTATTAGTGATGTGCTCAACACGATGACAAATGCCACTGCAAACGTTGCCGCTATGGGTTCAGGCCCCAGTCAACTTATCTTCTGGGGTTCGAGTAAGCGTTAACAGTAAGAACAAGCGAATGCTAACGCAATAACAATGTGATTTGTTCTTTGTGGTGGGTCGTTTAGAAACAGCGCAAGTTCTAATCCATCTACATGTGTCAAGAGTACAGCATTACAGCATACACGTAGCTCTATGAAGTGGCCCCGTCGAGTCTGTTAGCAGCGACACTTGGTGAACAGTCTTCAATGAAGACTTTTCACGAAGTGTCGCTACGAAGACGGGCTCGCCGGCCTTGTACTACAAATACGCCAACTTGAACCACGACGATGCACATGACGCGGAAGAAAGGTGGTCTGTCGTGCTTCGTGCGTTGGACTCCCACTGGATCGAGTGCGAGAACGTGTATCACTTGTACCGGGCATTCCTCACAGGCTTCATCTGCGACACTGAACGCCTGTGTCAGGTCTAGCTATCAAGGATAATTGTTGATTCTGTATTTTGAAGGCAGCAACCGCGTGCTGCCCGAATACTGCGCTTAGAGTCAGTACCACCGAACCCTGCCGACTGGTGCTGCAAGGAAGATGTTGGCCAGCACAACCATCCCCTCACGAAGGTGGCGGCTGAACCAAAAGCGACCTGTGAGGACAAAGATGATTGTCCTCACAACTGGCCAATTCTGATGATTGTTAATCAAGTTTTGCAGTATCTTGAATTAGGTTTTACAGGTATACTTCCGGTTTTGGCAGACACACCTAAGGGTGATGATAAGGATGAGTTGCGAAACCTCTCTAATGTACGGATACTAGTCTCATACAAAGATCAAGATATATCTCAATGGCCATTCCTGTGGCCAAATTCAATTTGCCCAAGCAAAATACCGCTTGGTTAAATGTCTATTTCTTGACCAATTCGTCGCCAAATTTAAATCTGAGACGTAGAATTTCTTCACAATGTTAAGATCTCTCGATTTTACGTCTCTATTTGCTAAACTTTAGAAATAGCAGCAAGAAATTTTGTAAAAAGTTGGTAGTTTACTGTTAGAGCATCTCCACCGCATCCCAACTCGCCATCCCTAAAAATTATTACTACAGTTGTACCTCGTAGTTACGGATACTACGCAGATTTTGGGGACTTATCCGGGTGATTTTGTCCCCATTTGCCTCGGACATCCCAAAAAGTGCAAATTATTGACTTATTTATGGAATTCCTAGGGAGATTGCCTACGAGATTTCATATTTAACCAATGAAAACACTCGTGTACAGTGATTGGATAATTCAATCACAAATCCGTCCTCATCACGAAACACTATTGAGGATACCAGTAGTCCTTGGCAATGCAGGCTGCATGATACGAGTGCAATTATGCGTCGATGGAATATCATAGTCATGTACTACGGTAGTAGTTTCGACATCAACGTTGACTGTAGTAAGCATCCATTCCGTCACCACGACCTTGCCCGCTTGAAAGGCATCAGCTACCGTCGGACGACTCCAACGTGCCTCTGCATGGAGTAATGTAATGCCACACATACTACATACTAGTACGTCAAGGTCCTCAAAGGTAAACATCCAACCACGTGATATTAACGACACTCCTGAAGTAGATT